TTATATGCACCACGAGTTGCTCATTCTGCGTGGCAAAGACACGTGTTCATGCTAAACCAACCAAAAATATCGACAATTCCCCAAACCACAGCCAGACGGCAACTTCTTCCGGACAGGATCTTCAGATCGAATCTTCTTGCTCTTTCAAACCAGACTAACAACGTCGATAGAAGCAGCGTCGAATAGAGCTAAAGTGATTTACCTCTACTCCCTTTCCAACAGCGTCACCTTTCTTCCCGTCACGTCTGAATTCATCCTGCTTCTCGTTATTCTTCGTTTCCCCTCTCTCGTTCGTCCTCCCGGTGGACTGGGACGGCGCTCGTTAGCCGTCGATTTCGCCGATTTAGCGTGAATTTCGTTTCAGAGAAGCCACCGAAACGCGGAGCGATGAAGACCCAGGCGACCCAGACGGAGATGCCAGCCGTGTTCCGTGGCCGAGTACCCGTCACGCTCAGCCCCCGAACGATCCATCGGGTGAAGATGGTGTCGCAAGGGGCGCAGACCAACGGTATGTTCAATGGCAGAAAGTTGACGAAGAGCTACTCGGAGGCCGGCCAACTGGGCACACCGTTGGGAGGTCAGGCCGGCGCGGCTGGCAAGGATGAAACAGAGCACCACGAGCCTCTTCACAGAACGCAGAGCGAGGAACCACCGAGGTCACCGTTCCTCGTCGATACGCCACCCCCTCAGGGACATGTTGAACAGCCCTTGACCAACGGAGACATCTCCGAACCTATCATGATCCACGTGAGTCTTGGAGAATATTGTTACGGTTTCGCTTGAGAAATCAACGCTAGAACTACCGAAGTGGTCGAGATGTGACCAATTTGTAACTTTTGTTGGAAATTGCATAGGATATTTCACAGAGATTCAAATTCCTCTGTGCTGTACTACAAATTTACTTTTTCCATCTTTTTCTCCTTATTTCATTAATTTTATACTTTGATCGTTGGTGGTTCTAGTGTTATTACAAAACGTTGAGAAATGTTATTTTCTTGGCGCTTAGTTATCATCAAATTGATTTGTAAGTAAATGTAAGTAAAGTAGGAGAAAATTTTTTATCATTATTTCTATGAAAATGTAATATTTCGTATTGTTGCCATTGTGGTGTGGAATTTTAATTGTTGCAACTCTCAGTCCTCTTTAACTGTTATCTCGAAGCATAGTCTTTTGCGTATTGTTAGTTTCAGTTATTCCTGCCACTCTGACTTTCCAACAAAAGATTTACAAACAAGTTTCGCACAACATTCTTTTCGTACTTTCACCCGCAGATTATGATTCACTTGCAGATACCATAACTTTATCGAGAAAATAGGAAACACTTTGTAGAATTGTTACTTCAGTAGCAAAGAGAAATTGAACATTTGCCATGGGGCCAAAAAGACCCAGTGGATTCGCACTAGTCGACAGTTAGGTTAGGTCGTCCGTGGGTTAAATTGAACCTCGAGGACGAGAGAAAGGAGTCTAATGGTGCCTTAGAAAGCATAATATACATTTCAAAGTTTAAAACAAGTTTAATTTAATTTAATTACGCTGATCGAATCGAAACTCGCGTGTGTACCACAAATATCTTGGAAGAAAGAGATTCGCATGGTTATAGACATTCGATGGTAGTAACTGTTAACAGAATAACAGTGTAACTATTAACAGAATAACAATTTCATATTATAGCAAGGAAGGAATTAATACACATACAGTTCAGGATAAGAATAACAGAGCATCCAAATAATGGAATAGTAGTGGAATAGAATAGTAGATAATGAAGATTCAGAATGTTTGAATTGAATTTATAAAATATGGATTTCATCCTAACACGTGTTCCTCTCGTTCTCTAGTAAACTTAGGCAACTTTTAGTAATGATAATTTAAAGTAATCTCCAGGTGAATTTCTTCAGGAATCCTATTGTTATTGCATAGTGTCTGAATTGAACTTACAAAATATAAAATTGTTAATACATATTTTCTCAAAATTAACGCATTCCCAGTCATCATTTAAAAATTTGTTACTATAAATTATATTATTTTCATTTTCTGTATTGTCGTAATTTGTAAAAATGTTAAAAAGCTTTAATTTTATGGTAAAATTAGTATGTTCTCAAAAAGTATTGTTTAATGAATTTAAACTATTCTAATATTTTCAATTACTTTTTCGGGTTTTTATTAAATTTTTAATTAAAGGAATAGAACTTAAATAGAATTTAAATATAAATTTATTTCATCTGTTAAATATTATAATAGATATTTGTACATTTTACATATTTTTTCATACTATTAGTTATTATAAATCCATAAAAATCATGATGTAAAAATATCTAAATAATGATGTTTTTAGAGATATGAATAAATTTCGTTAATAAATGTTTATCAGTATAAAGACGGCTATAATATAATAGTGATTTTTTTATAGATAAAGGGATCAAAATATTTTAAGATCTTTTTTTTTTATGGAGTAATATATTTTTTAATGCATTAATCGTTCTTTATAAAAAAAAGAGCATTAACTTATATATATCGAAAAACAATTTAAGAAATATTTCAACTTTAATTTTATAAAATTATAACACATATAGATATAAATATTAAATATTGTCTTTAATACGATAGATCTTACGGAATTGAGAGATACTCTTATTTTAATAGTTTGTAATTACATGCATTACTTTCAACATCAAAATTGTCGATTGTGAATATGTTAAATAATTTTCAAATTAATTTTAGTTCAACGATCTGATCGTGGTCAGACTGTTTCAAATCAAATTTCTAAAATATGAAATTCGTTGTTCGATCAACAATTCTGATGTACAGCGTTCTCATTTTCTAGTTAAATTATTATTTATTAAGTGGATTTTCCGTCCGACCTCGTAAAAGGAATTCGCAAGTTTCTCTTTCGTATATTACAGTTCTATAAGAGTTTGAACACTGTCCAAGCTGTAGGTCGTGGGTGAGTTTAAACGATTCGCTAAAATTTGTACAGGGTACTTCTGGCTTTAATGAATAAACTTTGAGAGTGGAAACGTCCGAACCCGGCAATACACTCGTAGTCATTCACTTTCCGAGAGACACACACTAACGTTGATTTATACTGTCAACTCATTTACGTTTATTACTGTTGAGGCAACCAGCAGATTTCCAAGAGAAGAATTTCATCATGTCACGTGGTCTTTTTCTTATTTTCACACACCCACGTTTTCAAACGTATTTTTAAAGTTTTTCCCTTCCCAGTTTTAAATCTAAGTATTATAAATTCTAGTCGTTTTACACTTTCAAAAATATTACAATAATTGTTTTTTATTTATTCGTATTATTCTATATATTTCTGTTTCTGAAACGAAACAAGGGCTAAATTTTTTTCGTCTAGTCATAAAGAACAAGTTTGTAATTCATGTATAAATTGAATCAATATGTATTCGATTAAAATCCAATAATTTCTGGCTGTTTCACATGTCCAAAAATATTGCAACAATTTTCAAGTTGTTATCTATACACATAGACAATATATTTTTATTTCTCTTTACATTTTCAAAAGAAGCGGAACAAAAATTAAATTTTTTTCGTTTGTTCGTAGAGAACAAGTTTATAATTCGCATAGTATGAATTGAACCAATAGATATTCTAATGACGTCTTTATGCACCTTTTGACGTATCGAAAGAAATTTACGATAATTTTCGTATACCTATATACTTCTATTTCTTTTTGTTCTTTTAAAAGAAAATGAAAGGTTAAATTCTCTTCAACTATTCATAGAGAACAAGTATTATCTCATAAATTACAATTATATATGTATATTGTAAATTAGATGAGTATATATATCATTTCTAAACATTATTATAGTTTCTAGTCGTTTCACAAATTTCCAAAAATCTACACATTTCTATGTCTTCTCATTTTAAAAAAAAAAAAAAAAAAAAGGAACAAAGCTTAAATTTTCTTCACAACAGAGCCATACCTAATCATAATAAAATAGAAAACAAATTTACAATCCACGTAATGTAAATTAAATTACAATAGTTTCCAGCTGTTCGCTATTATTATTATTGTGATTATTTGTCGCCTGAATTATTTACTCATCGTGTGGTTCAACTAGTGCATCATGGGATTTAACAGCGACGTAATTGCATCCAGACAATAGCAATTATTCACTCGCAAGATGAATTCTTAATTAACTTGTTTATTTATTATTACGTGCGCGGGCTTTAATTTCCTTCCGAGTGTGAAAAATGGAATATCACTCGAACTCGTAATGACGTTCAATCGAATTTACTTAATCTGTTAAACCGGCGAGCCCCGCAGGGAATTTCGTCATACGTAAATTCGAAGCAATTCTCCAAGCGAAAGAGGGAAAAATAATTTAGAGGGTCGTGAGAAAATGTGAAACGTTAAAGGGTGTCTCGGGTACATTGGATTTGTCCGCAATATACGACAAGAATTGATCACGCTGAAAAAAAAAAAAAAAAGAAGCAAAACGTCGAGTGAAATATCAATGTCAACTAAAATAAAATTGTCATCCTTCAAATTTTTTTCTCTTATTGATTGAAATGCAGTTCGTTGTGTGAACTTCTCTTTCGTTTTTTTCTTTTTTTAGACTTATCGTTGTAATTACTGGACTGCAGATTTTCATGCGCAAAATCGCACGAAATGCGTATAATTGGACATGTTTAAATATTGCATAAAATATAAATATGTAAAAACGAGTAAATATATGAGTGAAAGATATGAAATACAAAATTCTGATCTTTGATATTATAGTCTCAGGCAATCATGCGCATAAATAATTGAACATTTAATGCAATTTCAAGAACTTATTTTTCGACAGTTACGATCGACGAAGGTTCTTCTACTGTTAATTTTCTGCATTTTCAAGTTTCACTTTCGTCTTTAATAAATAGCTGACGTCTCACGAAATCTATATAAATATTTTCAATGTTCAATCGTTCCAAAATTTCAACAATGAAGACACACTTAAAATCAGAGTCTTCAGCCAATTATTACAATAACAGTGATTTTGATTTTTAATTTTATTTCAACACTATCGTTAATTATACTTGTATTTTAAAGTGATGCGATAAAATGTGTTGTTTATAAAAATGTAACTAATACGTGTATTTATTTATATAAAAATATAAGTAGACAGGATAAAAATATTGCAATTCTGGGAACACATCACGAGTGAATAATACCACTTTTTCTCCAGATATATGGTAAAGTTAAACAAACATATTGAATATCACGCGTGCATTACTGCATATAATCCTTTGAGAAGTGATCGTACGGATTAACACGAGTGCATATCCCTGTAACGAATATTGAATATTATTAATGCTAAAGGTTTCTGGTTTCTGGATTGATTCCACGTGCTGCTTTCGAGCACAACAGATTGTGCGAACGAAGGCCATGGAAACATAATTTCGATGTGAAACTTAGCCTTTAAAAACTGTCATTTAAGAAAATCACGTTAACGTTACGTCATTCAATTTTTTTTCGAATTTGATTTATTATCACGATCAAAGAAGAAAAGATTAAACGTCTCAAACTTTTGTGATATAATGCAAATTCTTGTAGTCATGTGTGCACAATACCATAAGCATTAAAGGTTAATGGGTCAATTATTATATCTTTTCCTATTTTTATCAGGCGATATAGGCGAGAACGTATCAATAGGAATTCCTTTTGACGATTAAAAATAAATAATCTTCATTAAAGATAAATAGATAATCGCGTGAAATTTTAGCCACGGTTAATTCCGTTCTGAATTCTATTGATTCGGTAGGCCGCCACGGTTCAA